AATGTCGATCATTATTGTAGCAAGAATTTTTTTAATCAAATGTAATTTAATAGAAATTTTTTCTTATTGCTATACCGATGATCTAGAAAAGAAGAATAAATCTAAATAATAAATCTAAATAGAATAAGGAATGCTAAATAAATATATAAAATATATTACACGGAGTAATCTAATAGTAATCATTTTATATTTACATTGTATAAAATAATATAGCAGAAAAATATGTATTTTTTTTTTAGTAATATTTAGCCTCAACTGACAAGTAGTTTTATTTTATTTTACGTAAATAAATTATTTAATGCCTTAAACAATTCTATTACGACATCATGAAGCGTTTCTAATGACAGAAAACACACCGCAGTCTTAACTTTTGCATGAACTTGGCATCACTTGGTTGCGTTAAGACGAATTTATACATGCGCAACGCGTATTATTAATAACGCTTGCGTTAGAAAATTACAGACTGGGTTCACTGGGCTGCCATTTTGGCTGCTGCAAGATTCAACGCGTGCGGTTCTCGGATACGAATACCTACCGTGCAATTAAAAAAGATGAATCGCACACGCAATCCCGAAGCGCTATCGGCGAGGTCCCCCCCTTATTAAGTATGCGATGTACGTTCTTCCACATATTCATTTCGGGCAAGATTTGGCGTGCCACCGCCGGATTCTGACAATTACGAACGAGAGGCCCGTATCCTGGCCTCGTAGTATGCGCCATAAATATTCGGACTTTAGGGGGATTACAGAAGGGAGAGAGCATCGTTCCGTAACCTCTCTGCATTTGCTCGCCAATTAAATATTTCATCTAAATGTAATCGTAAACTAGGCTACGAAATGTTTTTTGTGAGCAACTTACGTTTCCAGGGATATTGCTTAGGATTTCGTGACCTAAGTCGCGAAGTTTGAGAAGCCACAGCTCTCCGTCTTATTCCCATTTGTAGTCGTGAATATTGCAAAGGCTTACGGGGCACGTTTCAGATAAAACCAACGAACGAATGTATAATATTTTCGGAGATATGCAGGATTTAGAAGAAAACGAAAGGTAACGGTAAATAAGGAATTTTATCCAACTCAACGTAATCTTCTGTTAAAACGTGTAGTAGATAATAAATTCATACACGGAAAGAACGATTTTGCTGGAAGGTCTAGAAATTTTGCTGGATACAGATCTGAAAATAATTCTTGTTGGCCCATCAAAATAATTTTATTTTGTTGGAAAGTTAAAAATTATATGCATTTTTAACTTTCCGACAAAAATTATTTTCAGATCTGTATATTCAGCAAAATCGTTCTTTCCGTGTATTTATTAAAAATAAAGATGAAACAAAAAAGTATATGCATATTTCTGCGGAAATGTGTACGACAAAAAATGCAAGTGAGTAACGAATATGAAAAGTAAAAATGAAGAGATCGACAATATGTATTGAAATAAGAAAATTTTCTAATAAATTGTCTAATTTTCTAACAACAATGCGACATTTAAATAAAGACATAAGGTAGCATTTATTGTAAAATATACAATAATTTCTATAAATTGCATACATATATATGTATATACGACAACACTTCAATAGAATCCAGAGAAAGCACCGATGTCATTAAACAAAGGAAGCTCGAGATAACTTTCGCGCGTAACTGTTTCTGTGCCGCTATGCTGCCATTAGCGAAGTGCACTTTGCGTTTGAGTGCGCAATTTCCAGCATGAAAAGTCAAAACTATTATTATTCAAGTAAAATTGCAGCAATAATAGAGATATTAATCAAAGGAAATGTAACAATTTTTTCGTTAACTGCTCTAAAAGTTCCAAAATCTTCTCTCAAGTTTTGTATTAATGTAAAATAACAGAACTGGGCTCTAATACTTTTCCGTGTCTTAATTCATGTACGAGTACCATATTCAATTATTAATGTCAGCATTGATTCGATAAAACTGATGCTGAATTAAAAATCAGTTGCGCGGAAATCCATTTTAAATTCAACCAAGTCTATTAAGTTTTGCATATTTAGAAAGATTCCATGAACTCATTAAAAAGTCCCAGGATATCCGGTGCATCTCAATAATGAAACATTGACGTTCAATAATAATGTCACGTAAGTACTACCGTCGTGCGAGTAGCAGTTACTTGCGAACATTGTCCCCGCTGAAACCACATCGTGGAGTTTATTATATGACCATGCCACTTATTGTTCGCGAAGAATGCAAGGGGACACACAGGACGCGCGATGTCCTGTTTCTTTTCTTTTCGTGCATGTCCGTCCCGATGTCGGAGCGGCCCGCACAGCCTGTTTCTCGATTCCGGCATACGCCCGCGACGCGACCGACGTCTCGACTTCTTTTCTCATTCACGCTCATTCCGGCGACGTGACGCGACCGACGACGACGAGATTCTTTCTCTGGAAGAATCTTCCTCCACCTGCCTCCTCTCTCACACAGGCGGCCTGCCTCCTTCTTTCTCGTCTCCTCTTCTTCTCACGAAAGTGTACCGACGACGATGACGCATTCGGGAATCCGTATACGTATGACGCGCCGCGACAATAGAAAGTTAAAGGCTTAAAGATCCGGAAGGAAGACGCCGATGACGACGAGTGACCCACATCCGGTGGAATCAACCGTGAGAGAGTAGACGCACGTATGAACCACGTTGAGGAAAATATCACCGCGATCGAGTAGAAACTGGGTGCTGGAGATGAGAGTCGAATCGCTCAATACCTGATAATGCCGATATAAAAGCGTGGAGGACGCGCTTTAGAGCGTGATGAATTAAGCTAGTGATTATTTATTAGCCCTCTCAATTGCTTGTTTCAACAATCCGTTTGATGTATTACATTACATTCGAATATTTCAGATTTAGCACATCGTATTCTGTGCATAATATTGTTATATTATATCGTGGCATTTACTCGAGTACTCTCACGTACGATAAAATAGTTTTATAGCCGCGAAAAGACTGACAATTAGCTACCTGTCTATGGCCCGACTTCTTTCACTTACTCTTTTGTTAAAAGAAAGTATGATAGCCGTGACTGCAAGATTCAATACGGCGGCGATTTAATGCGCTTTTCCTAAGAGCTCGGTAAAACTAATTTTTTAAGGTTGAAAAATTAATCTCTGTTCCATTCTCTTGACTTTTTTTTTAAAACGCGGAGCTATTATTGCATTTAACTCTTTAATTATGTATTTTATAAATTAACTCATGTCCGTTTATTTCAATCGAATTCAGGTTTCGGCCCCATTTATTCGACGTCTCTATGTTTAATCTCGCGAATAATTAACAGGTTATGCCTTATAAATAAAGCGCGAATAAACGTTAGCGAAAACTTTCTCGCGCGACCGAGTCCGTTTCTCTTATTTAGGTCGACGCGAACGAATATGTCTGACATATTTTTATGACGGATAAAAGTAACGTCTTCTTTATCTTTAAACCGCGCGTTTCGACAGCACATGTTCCTCTGCATAGCCGCGGAAAGAAATTTTGAAAAGCGGATGTATCGAGTAGAGGTAAAGTTTGGGTCATATCCTCTCCATCTCACGACTGACGTCATAAAATGAAAGTTCAAGAATCCCAGGAACGTCGGGAGATTTCCGGGATAGAAGCCTCCCTGCGTTCGTCGACTGCGTTTAAATCACGCGTGCAACGCGTATAGAAAATCACGTCCCCGTCTCGGTGATCAACAACAGACTAATGACTAATCCTCGTATAATCTCGACGCGATTGCTCCATGTAATTGCCATCATGCACCAAGAAGTGGCATGGCATTACGGCCATACCCCGCTATCGTTGCATTATTCATGTCTCCCGGCTACACCCTAAATTCGAGGACTTCCCAGAGGATGTAACCGCCGCAACGCGCCGGTAATTTCACCGTCGAGCAGCCTTGCCAGCTATCGCCATATAAATCACGAAGTACGGTGCATTAAAGACGGTCCCGTGAGGGGAGAGATAGGCTTCTTTGCATTATGGAGCTTAGAATCGAAAATAACGCTTGAAATATTTACCGCGTGTTCGCGGATTCACAGATAATTTTCATCGGTATTGATCACGGGAGGCGTCCGTCCCGGAGATTATTAATTCGCCGAGATTTTATTTTTTGCATTAAATCATTATTTTATAAAATATCAAATTGACGGCCTAAATATTATTAATTTATGCAAATCAATATTAACAATGTAGTATCGGCTATTATGAATAATAATGTAATTTCATTTCGATAGCACAGTAGCAGCGGCGACATTACTGTGGTCAATATATCGCAATCAGTCAATATATATTGATATTAGAATTATAATTACGCAAACGGTCGACAAGAGAGACGGTCGCTACGATTTTTTTAGATACACTTTTATTTTTAATTACACGAGCCGCCTGAGGAACATCTCGGGACGGTTACGACGGGCGCGGCCCGGATAATCGCCGCGATGAAAAGAAACGACATCGTCGCCAGCCGGGTTTGTAACGAGACACAAAAAGCAAAGGGCGAGTAAAAAAAAAAAAAGAAGCAAACGAAAAACGGTCCGACAATTCGTAGATCTAAAGTCGACTTCGGCTCATGAATAACGTAGGAGAGAGCCGCATTAGAATATTCCCCGCGGCATAACGAATAAGAAGACATAACTTCCATTGTTATTCCCCGGGCTTTAAAGAGGAGGGCACTGACTCGCGAGCGGCGACTACGGGAAAGAGCGGAGACGCTTCACGTCGGATAACGATATTTCCGCGGAGATGGTGCACTTGAAGGAAAAATCAACGGAGACCTCGTCCCGTTGATTTATTAAGAGTGCGTCGCGTTAAAACGAAGGAGCCCCATTCCGTCTCTCGTCGTTTTCCGAGAGAGAATGGAAAATGATTGTGTGTGCACGAGAGTGCGGCTAGCTCCCCCACAGAGCCTATCGTAATTAGCATTTCCATCGACGGGATGGGCGGAGATATTTTAATCAAGACGCAATTGTCACTGTTCCAGATAATAGCGGCCGGCTCAAAAATTACTTGATGCGCTGAGGATGCGCCGTGATTTCTACAACGGTGGGCTTGCCTGCGCCGTTGTGTGGGTGTCGTCGACTTGTCTGCTGCTCGTCCTCTCGCTGTCGACATCGACCACCGCCGGTACGTTCTCTGTTCTACCACTTCTTTTTTTCTCCTCTTGAACATTTCATTTTATTTACTCCTCGTCTCTGTCCAACGTGCGCGCAAATGCAAAGCTTATTAAAAAAAAAACAGATAAAACAATTGCGAGAGAATATCTTTTGGAAAGTAAACTGACATTTTTCATCGTGCATTTCGGTTCGGTGTACAGCACCGCTTTAATCGAATTTTTTTAGCCGTTTCTATTTTTTTTAAATTTAGCGAATCAATAAGTTTTTACAGCAATATCTCTATGTACGTACAAAAGACAGGAAAATCAAAAAAGGAAAAATGAGCGGTTCCATTTTTTTTCCTTTTGCTCTTCATTTTTTCTCCTGTTTTTGCCTCCCTTCTTTCTTTTTTTTCCTTTCCCTTCATTTTTTATTAAAGAATAATATTCTATCTTTAAGAGGATTATTAGTTAAAGAATCCATTCATCCCTTAAAAAGATCACCAATTAACAGCTAATTGTTTATTTGCAATAATAATTAAATGTTGAAAATTTGTATAGGTTTAGTTTTCTGTGGGAAGATGTCACGATTTCGCTGTCACGAATAGAGATATAGAGATCATTCTCGCGCGTAGCTTCAGATTCTAAACTCGACAGGATTAAATTGGTTGTAATGCTCAATAATCGTACGCGCGCGCGTTTACGGGTTTCACGTCGCGCGTACGTCTGTACAGTCGACAGTGTGTACATATACAGTTGAGTAATCGCACGCGTGAATTGCACGGGTTTACCGATCATTAATGTACATGACGTAGATGATCGGCAATACGATGTACCTACGTATATATTCGATATAATGCGATATCGCTGGTTAGAAACTTCCCGTGCGATTTCGTATTCCGGCAATCGATTCCCATCCCAATGTGTTACAGCAGGATGCATGTCGTCTCAATAAATATCGAGGGCAGCCCGATTTGCGTGTCAATAACAAAATTGAATTTCTCCCACACCATTAAAACACATCCCTTCGTCTCTTCTCTTGTCTCTATCTCTTTTCTCCTTTTTCTTTTTTTCCTTCTTTTTTTCTTTTTAAAAGAGATTTTGTATTAAAGATATAGGATGCTTCGACTCGGCAATGTGTTATATTAAATCCATTTGTATTATCTTATCGAAATAGAATAAAAAATAAATTTTTTGGTATGTGTGTATGAAAAATAATATTCATATGCATTTTATATATATTATACATTTATAAAATTATATATAATCATATAATGGAATCTTGTTCTGCATTCCATCACGATTCACGAATATCATGACTCGTTTGGCTAGAAACACGAGAAACGCAAAAATCTGCGAACAGGATAATTGGACGCACGTCATAGCCATTCGAATTTTATCTGAAATTTTACGAAACTTTATTTCGATAGTATGAATACACGTCCGAAAATGTACACGCTATACAAACGATTAATTAGACGATTGATAGGCAATGCACGCGATACAACATCGTACTAGGAGACTTTCGCTGGAGGACACCTAAATGGAATATCGGGTGGGATTTTCTTTTCGTGTACGCCCGTCCGAGCCGGACACTTTCTTCATTTGTCATACGAACGTGCATCACCGTTCCGCGTATTAATATGTGTCATGTAACGGAACGGCAAACTCCCGTCGCGTCGTGTATAAATTTGCACGAGAGCTTAATTCTTCGAGTTGAAAAGATTTATTTCTTTTAAAATTTTTATTATTTATCGATATATTTTATTATACGTTAATTTTTTAAGTCAGAGACTCCAATTGAAGCTAAGAAAAATTATAATAACCGATCGATACTTGAGTCTTGTGCTTTTGCAATTTTTATTGATGGCTTTTCTTTAGGAATTATTGGTTTCCACGTATTCGTTTCTATATTTTTTCGTTATATTGATGCGACTCTCTTCGTTCGTTTATCCCATTTTTTTTCTCTTCGCTGAGTGCTCGAAGGCATTCGCTATTACGGTGCCGCCTTGAAACGCTCTCATAGCACGTTAGGTAAGTATAGTAAGTGTGGCAGTAGGATGCCGAGGAACCGTTAGCCGCCGACTCCAGCTATTTTTATTATTATCATCATCGTCGTTGTGCTACACTTTAGTCCGAGCGTGCTCAAAAACGCCGCCTCTCGGCTTCCCATCCGCGATAGCATCTTATTTCTCGGTAACTTATTAAACAACGTCTCTTAATGTGACTCATTAATCCATCTTAAATCCGGGCTCAGATGGTGCTTATGGCGTACGCTTTGTGCCGCTCTGCTTTCAATCGAAAATGTTTATCTTTAACTTATTTATTTTCTAAGGATTGAATTTGATTTTCTCTGCAGAGTTCGCAAAAGGCTATTTTCTGAACTTGATATTCCCGGATATTAATTAAAAAGATTTTCTGTATTTTCCATATGCCGGAAGAATATCTGGAGCACAAAGTCAACTGAAAATTCTTTTCGAATTAAACTGTGATACTCTCTTCTCTCTCTCTCTCTCTCTCTCTCTCTCTCTCTCTTCTATGTTCTGCGATCCAGAAGGTTGAAAATTTATTACGAGAGAAAAACAAGAGATATCTAGCTTAACATATTAAATATATCAGAAATGTTTATTGTCTTTATTCGTGAATTATATTAGCGCAAAAATGAAATAAAGCTACCATTACCTACACAAGTATAACATAATACCACTAATGAAAAATCAATAATGAATTAATAATAAAAAATATAACTAAATAATAAATAATATCAAATTAATATTAAAGCATGTCCAAAATGTATTTTATAAGTTATAAAATTATTCTAAAGTCGTCTATTTTACCGCTAAATGCAATAATTTTTGCACAAGGTTTTCATATGAATTGCTTTTACAGATTGGGAAACTCTTTTCTAAAATTAAAGTATAGACAATAACGCTGCGCGAATATAACGATTTTATATGAAAAATGAAAAAAATTTTCCAAAATTAGTTCTGTTATCGATTTCTAGCTTAATAATATTTGCTTTATGTAAAAGTTTTGTACTTTGTATAAAACTCTTATATCAGACAAATAGCAAATATTACGAGTCAATGCCAGAAGTTGATAACGAAACTGTAATTTTTAAAAGTTTTTTTCGTTTTACAAAATCGTTTTATTTGCATTCCACTGTTGTTTATACTTTAATTCCGGAAAAGGATTTTCAAATAAGTAAAAGCAATACCTATACGAAAACATTGTACAAAAAATTATTTCATCGATAAAATAGACAACTCTAGCATCCCCTCAAATCCATTCATAGAAAAATCGAGTTTTATCCAGATTTACGTACAATTTGCAGAGCCGTTGCTGAGAGCCGCCGGTCGATGTCCGTCCCTCGTCGAACAGAACGTGTGCCCGTCGAGGGCGCCGACCTGCGAGAATGACTACCAGTGCCAGGGCACGGAGGAACGCTGCTGTAGGACCGCGTGCGGCCTCCGGTGCGTCGCGGGCGAGCTGACCGGATGCGAGCAGCTGGCGTTGGCGGCTGTGAGGAGGTCGCGGGCCCTCGGCGACCGGGGCCCCGCTCAGTTCGTGCCGCGATGCGACAACGTGACCGGCGAGTTCGAGAGGATACAATGCGAGCCGACCGGCCACAGCTGCTGGTGCGTCGACGAGATCGGCGCCGAGATACCCGGAACCAGGGCGCCCAGCAAGGATACCATCGACTGCGACAAGCCCCGCAAGTGTCCGGCTCACAGCTGTCGGATGCTCTGCCCTTTGGGATTCGAAGTATATATCCATTATATATATAAATCCGTTTTATATTTGATATAAATTCAATGTCAATTCAAAACTATCAGTATTGAAAATATCCAAGTATTTTCTTTTTATCCTGAGATACATCTTTGTTACTTCTGTCATCGTCTACAATTCGAAAATAATAATTTTAATTTTCTCCGTAATTTTTCAAACAGTTGATTTCGCGAGTCATTGTATAATATCGATTTATGATGTTTAATTTCCAGTGCTTAAGAAATACGACGTTAAATATTCAAAAATATGTCAAAATACAGAAAAAAGATTGTAGTAGTTTTAAATAGAATACTTTAGACTATTTTTAATACCTTATTTGCGAGACAAAGCTAATAAATTCTAAATTGTTTATTAATTTTTTTTTTATTGTTAGACTATTATAGAAATAGGCGTTTGCTTCACGCAAAATAATCTTTTGTTTTGCGACGCTACTTGTATAAAAATCCTTTCAAGTGCTAACTGTTATCGAAAAATCCAACGTTCTCCAATAGATCAGTGAGGTCACCGGCTGTCCGAAATGTGAGTGCAGGGATCCCTGTCGCGGCGTTACCTGTCCGGGAGTCGGACAGACGTGCGAGCTAATCACCGTGACTTGTATTCGGCCGCCGTGTCCGCCGTTACCCAGCTGTCGGAAGACCAGATCTCTATCGACAATCTGTCCGGCGGGCGAGCCCTTGCAGATCACCGACTCGTCGCGGCCGTTCCTCTGCGGCGACACGCCGGGGAAGCCGAGTTGTCCGCCGATGTACAGCTGCCTGGTGGAGCCCAAGCAGGAGTACGGAGTCTGCTGTCCGTCCAACGTGAAGCTGCAGCGACCCGGCACGTGTCCCGCGGAGGAGCTGACGGCGGGCTCGACGTGTGGGCCCGCCTGTCGCTACGACCTCGAGTGCCCCGGACCCCAGAAGTGCTGCGGCAACAAGAACTGCGGCGGTAACGTGTGCACGATACCCCGGGACCTCAGCGCGTGCCATCGCGACCGCATGCTCGCCGAGATACTCAGTGTCTCCGAGCGCCAGGGTCGCGGCTACATTCCGCAGTGCATGGAAGGTGAGAGGAACAAGCCACATACCACGAGTATCCGCTCGGTCGAGCGATTTGGCCGGTTTTTTTTTTCTACGGCCGAATATAAAGCTTCTAAAGTGCGAAATAATTGTATACAGATGGAGGTTTCCAGACGAGGCAGTGCTCGAGAAACGGCCTCGTCTGCTGGTGCGTGGACGAGGACGGTAGAAAGATATCCGGCTCTATGGGTCCCGCGGAGAAGATTGATTGTAGATCGATAAGCAAGGCGCGCTCGCTTCCGGCGTCCTGCACGTCTCAACAGTGCGCTCAGGTGTGCCAGTACGGCTTCAAAACGGACGCTTCCGGCTGCCCGACTTGCGAATGCGACGATCCATGCGAGGGGTAAGCGTCGCAACGTAACAATAATTAATATCTTTTTTGCGAGCCAAAGCTAATTTAAATAATAAATTGTTTACTTCATTATTTTTTCGTCACTTCTTATTAATTTTACTAATAAAAATGTAACTATAAATTAGGAATGTGATAGAATAAATTTTAAAAAATCTTATGAGATGAATAATATACGAATATCCCCTTAATCAAGGTATTATTTTATTTTATTTTTATAGATTTCTGTGCCCTGAGGGACAGGAATGTGTCCTGAAGCGGGAGAATAACTGTCCCGATTTTCTCTGTCCAACAAAACCGGAATGTAAACCTAGGAAGACTTATAAGAGCCCCTGCGTCTTCGGTACACCGCTTATCGATCAAGACGGAAATGCCGCGACTTGCTCCACTAACGAAACTTGCCCCGACGGCTACAAGTGCACGATGATACAGGAAGCTGGTCAGTCGGTGTGTTGCATGGAATCGCCAAACGCCACAAAGGCACCCACAAGTAATTTCGCCATAATAAATAAAAATAATAATGATAAAGTTATTTCTATTATTACCATAAATAATATCTGCTCATCAATAACGAAATGTAGAGCTAGCTTGGAAATGAATGTTTGAAAATTAGATTTATAAAAATATTAAGTTTTACTTCGAGATTTTCAAGGAAACATTTTTTCTTTCTCAAAAATATTTAGTGTGCGAGTATCTGCGGGATTTCAACGATCGCATGGAAGGTACGAGGGAGGGAATGTCCCTGGCAATTCCGGCGCCTCAGTGCGACCAGGATGGCAGTTACAAGTCTCTGCAGTGTAACAATGGTACCAGCTGCAAATGCGTGAACCGTCGCGGAGTGATCCTGAAGACCGGACTGGACCTGACCGCCACGGCTGATTGTGAATCCATCCGGGAACTCACGCGGATGTGCAAGCGTCTGTACTGCAACCTGATCTGCCCGTACGGCTACGAGGTGGATGCAGCCGGATGCGAGCAGTGTCGCTGTCACGAGCCATGCCGCGATGTCGTCTGCGGCTCGCACGAGACCTGCACGATGATCGACGTGAACTGCGGCCCGAACGAGTACTGTCCGGCCGTGCCGGCGTGTCTCACGACGAAACCGGGTCAGTGCCCGTATCTCGTCCCAAGCTCGTCAAGCTGCGAGCTGCAGTGCAGCAACGACCAGGAGTGCCCGTCCGGTGACAAATGTTGCTCGACCGGCTGCGGCACGCAGTGCGTGGCGCCGGTCATGGCCACGGCCTGCCAGCACGCTCGCGCGGTCGCCGAGCACGCCGCCAGGGAGTCGGGCGAGCCCGCGAGGAGGATCTACATACCCAGGTGCGACTCCAACGGTACGTTCGAGCCGGTGCAATGCCACAACGGCATGTGCTGGTGCGTGGACGAGGAGGGCAAGGAGGCGGCGGGCACCCGGGTCCTCGAGGGGGTCGTGCCGCGCTGTAACACGCCCTTGCGATGCCCGGAAATCGACTGCAAGCTCGACTGTCCGGACGGATTCGAACTGGACGCCGACACGGGTTGCCCGACGTGCTCGTGCCGCGACCCGTGTCGCAGCGTGACCTGCCGCGGCGAGAACGAGGCGTGTCGAATGGTGGAGGTCGCGTGTAGCGCGCCTCCGTGTCCCCCGGTACCGGTCTGCCTGCCGAAGAAGGACAACCCGTGCCCGAACAGCTCGCCGCTGCTCGATCAGAACGGCTCGGTCGCCACCTGCGGCCCGCACGGCCATCACTGCCCCTCGACGCACAAGTGCGAGCTGTCGCCGCTGGACGAATACGCGGTGTGCTGCCCGAAGCCGCGCGAGGTCTGCTTCGAGCCGCCCCGCAGAGTGCCGTGCAACCCGAGCGCCGGCTTCAACGAGACCGAGAGGTGGTTCTTCGACCCGGAGCGCAACGAGTGCCGGCGCAAGCACGAGTGCACCCTCGGCCACAACGACTTCTCCAGCCGGCTGGTGTGCGACACCGTGTGCCCCGTGCTGTCGCAGTGCGAGAGGCTGCGCGAGAAGAACCTGAAGCGGTCGCAGCGGCTCAAGCAGCCCACGTTCCTGCCAAAGTGCAATCCCGACAGCGGCACGTGGGAGCCGGTGCAGTGCCTGGAGCACGTCGGTGTCTGCTGGTGCGTGAATCGTAAGGGCCAGCCGGTCAAGGGTTCGCTCACCCGGGCCGCCGAGCCCAAGTGTAACTTCCGCCAGGCGAGACGCGGCGGCAGAAGACCGGAGTCGCAGGAGATAGATCGTGAGATTCAAACGCTCATGGAGAACGCGCTGCTGAACTTGGAGACGGACGAGCGGCAGGCGGGAAAGATCCTCGGGACCAGGTGCCAGGCGATGAAGGACAAGGGCCACGTGCCGGCGATATGCGATCCGCAGGGTAGATTCGAGCCTACGCAGTGCGCCGCCGATACTTGCTGGTGCGTTGACGAAGCCGGCAATCAATTAATTGGATCCGAGCCGTTTTTGAAGGGAACGAGCATTTGCCGTAAGTGCAAGGTTTTTTTAAATAAAATTTCGTTGTAATAATTCAACAAATGTGTTGAAATTGTAGTTAAGTTTGAATTAAAATTTTATTGTTGGAAAGTTATTTCTTTAACATCTTTAAATCGTAAAGATCTTTTACGATTTAAACATGAAATATGTGGAGAATAAAATAAAAAAGATAGTGCGCTCGTATACGTTACGTATGTGTTTTTGTGTCTCCAAATAAAAATTCTCAATTATAAATTTAAAAAAATTTCAAACAATGCTGTATTGCAAGAAACATAATTACTTAATTATAATATTATCGTTACTTCACTATTGTTGAATTAATTATAATATCTGTTACGTTAATCAGTGCCCACTCCAGTCGAAGCTGTCGACGTGACGTTACGTTTCCCCGGTCGGTTCCTCGCCAGCGACGAGACGCGATTCGCCCGGGAGGCCGAGAATTTTCTGCACGTGCTCGGCGCGAGGCTACGGAAAGATGTGCGAGTGGAAATCAATCAGGACTCGGCTATCCTGAGCTTTGAGATCGTCGGCGCGAACAAGGTGGACGTGGCGTTCCACTTGGAGGAGCTCACGCGAATCCAGAAGCTGTCCATGCTGGACTCGTTCGCGGACGCGACGACCTCGCGCTTCACGCATCGCTCCACGCCCGTGGCAACGCAGAGCCGGATCGTTGCGTTGGAGCAACGTGAGATCCTCACGCAAATGGAAACGCCGTTCTATCAAACGGCCACGGTCGTGCTCGCGGCGAGTAGCGCCTTCGTCATCAGCAGCCTCGTCATTCTGCTGATGCTGTACCGCAAAAAGGTACAGAGGATACGCTCGTAAAATTTTGCTGAAAAGATATATTAATTCTGTATTGGATTAAATTTTGTATTTATATCCTATAAAATCTGTTATTTAATGGCCTGATTAAATCTGTATTTATATCCTATATCTAGCTCAATAGATGTGATTATTTTAACCTGTTTTATTTTGTATATTCTTAGCGTCGTCCGTGAGAGAATAATTTACGATGCCCCGGTTAAGTTTTCTAAATAAATCTGTTGCAGATGAAGCTGAAGGATCCCACGAAGACGTATTCCATGGACCAACACTTTCTCGCTTTTAGCCAACAGCCGGTTTACGTGATATCAGGATCGGAGCAGAGCGAGAAGGAGAAGGAGACCGCGGCGCAGCAGATGCTAGAGAATATTCGTACGTCGGACACCATCGTCGGAGCATAAAACGATTTGCTTTTTACATAGGTAATTTCCACCCTGTACGATAGTGATTCTTAAACTTCTTTTTCCAAGTGTACTACGAAGTAGCGACGGAGAGTATAATGTATGATTATACGCGTCACTCAAAAATCCTTCGAAGTACAGCGTCTACCATTTCCAAGGATAATATCCGCACGGTAATCCTTCAATTCTTACCTTTTTTTATCTCAGTAAGTCTTTTTATATTTATATATATATATATACACGTGACGGATAATATAATCGGAAAGGGGATAATTTCTCGTAAAAAAAATATGTCAAAAATATAGAAAAAAAATTTTTTTAACACGAGTCTTTGTTTTCGGAAAATGCCTGTTTAACAAACAGTGAATAATTAAGAATACGTTTTTACAACTTAATGATCTTACGTCAGGTAACCGAATTTGTCCTCAACTGTCTCGATATAGTGGCTATTAATAAACAGAGGCTCAAGAATCACAAGTGCAAACTGGAAATGCGAATTAATGTCGTACATGGTATAGCATATGAATACATCGTAGTCAAAACAATGTCATGTATATCTCACTGTCAATATCTCGCCGTAATTTATTGTTCACACGAGATTCATCCATTACGGTCCGTAGACTTGACGATCAAACGAATGCATCGCATGCGACGAATTTTAAATCAGCGTTTATCAATCAATTTTGTATAGATAAGTGTAGACTGTATAGTTTCTATAGACAACTGTTAAAATTTTCATGATGACGATTCGCATAATGTAAATTTATTCAAACGATTCTGATATAATATATACACCAGGCTGGAGTTTTTGGAAATGTAATCTATACTTCCCTAAAGATACAAAAGAACGATATTACTTTTGCGAGATCGGAAACATTTACTCGCGTAACGACGAGTTTACCGATGGACATTGGTTTGATCGTCGAGGATCTAGGTATGGGAACTGATTTTATTATTTTCATTGGTATTTGTCTTCATTACCTCTCTGATGTGGGAGTCATTAATGCAAGATTGTCCTCTCGGTTTGAAAATCCCGAGTTGTAGGACCGAGGTACGTGTCATTACGTTAATAACGCCCGCACGATTGTAAATAGATTATTATATTTATAGATTTATACTGTGTTCGATTTATTTATATAGACGAATAAAGATCAGAATTCTCCTGTTTTTCAATAATGAGGTTATTCCCACAAGCTATATACAATTAATTTCCTTAAATTCCCTCCACAGCTGTATTAAATTAAATAAAAAAATAAAACAAAATTGAAAAATATCACTAAAAAAATATTTTATTAGAAACGTGATTTTGCTCAAATTTGTCGGTGTTGCAAAATGTTCATAATTGCACCGTGTTCGTTATAGTGCTCGCGGAGGAGGTGAAGGCAGAGAAGCATAATAAAGAGTCGACTTAACACAGCGGAGGCGGGAGGGAGAGAGAGAGAGAGAGAGAGAGATAACGGGATGGATCAAACGAGGGAAGCGTTTTCTTTTTTTATTACAAAGTGGATTTTTTATCAATAAATACATTATAATGCATAAAATGAAAATTCAAGTTTTCCCTATAAATTTTCAATAAATTTATAAATTTATTAGAACAGTATAAATCATTATAGCTTTATATAATATTAGCTGTTTATCGATAAATAATTCCGGTTCAACGATGTGAGTTATATTGTTAAAAAAATTTTGAGGAAATTGACCTGAATTTTCTGTGATAAAGAAAGCAGTATATTTTAAATATTTCTTGTATTGTACATATATCAGGCAAAAGAAGGATATTAAAAAGATATACAAAAGAAGGATATTAAAAATTATTTTTCTTTACAGCTTTCATTACATTAAGACAAAAAGAAAAATGAGAAATAAAAGAGTGAAGGAAGGACATGCAAATGCCCTTTATAGAATAACAGTCCGAGGCATGCGATGAAGTCGAACCAGAGAGGATCCTGAGAGCGGCCATGCCCGCGATTTAGCTGGGACAGGCGATTGAGCTGGTTTCAGCGCCTCTATGTCCACAAAACGTGGACATTGAACTACGTAGCCAATGTCCACGATTTTGTCGGTTATGTCCACGATCTTTTGGTGGTGATCCGTGCTATGTCCACGGTTGTGTTCCGTGCTATGTGCAGGAATGCGAGTAGGTAAGATAGACAAGGACGGACATCAATCTCGGTCGTCCTTGTCTCACCACCAGTTAATAATAACACGGAGCTCGAGCGGCGAGTTTGTTGTCTCACGGACACCTCCCCTCTCACCCGTCCCGTTTTTTGTCTCGCTGCGTTGCCGAAATTCAGAAAGAGGATTTCGGGCGATTTCTGACAGCGAGATGGAAAATAGTAAAAAAAATTTTTTCAATATAAATTTTATATGCTGTCGTGATACGCGTGTATATGATTATGCATAACAAATACGCGCGGGTTAAATACACTGTACAAGGAATAAATAAAAATTACTGTATTAAGAGAAATGTTTGACTCATCTGATTTTTTCGCTCGAAAGCGATTTTA